AATGAGGGGATGTATGCTGCATTTTGTGCTTTCCACCTGCCCGCCCCCCCCCAGCTGTGGTAAAGCCTCTTAGGTTTAAATAACAACTAGTCCAACCCACTGTAGCAGGCGTATAAGAAAAAGTAAGTAATTACAGTTCTTGTTATGCTGCTAGACTGAGTAATTAGATCTTGAATGATACAGGAGCTCTTCAAGAGGATGGGTGCCATCCCTTTCTCCCAGTGAGCCAGTGTACCAGTTACTTAAGTTTCTAGCTGCCCTACAAGTCAGTGCTGTTTCCCATTAATTGCCAGAGCTGTAAAGAGGTTTTTCCATTGCCCTCTCATGGGGTGATGCAAAGTCTGAAAAATACCAATACAGATCTTGCAACAGAAACAAATAAGTGTTTCTGAAGGGAGTTGCTGAAGTAGTATTGTTACAAAAATTGTATTAAATTACTTCAGGAAAAATGAACGGAAAGGGCTTCTGGTTGGTGAACACCTTACTACTACAGGAGTCTCAGTTGAGCTTGTCTCTTCTCCCTGTGAAAGAATTCATCTTTGACTAAGCACAGCTATATTTAAGTACTACCTGAGTTATTAATTCCATTTGTTTTAGGTAACTTTGTACTGATCTGCAAAGATTATTGAGTAAATACCAAGAAGTGGTGGGAAAAGATGAACAGAAGGAGCTTTTCAAGATTACTGAAGTATGCATTCTAAGATAGTAATTTGGAGGGGAAATAAAAGTCACACTTAGCTTGAAGATCTGAGGCATGGCTCTTGAACTTCATGCTGGTTACCAACTAAACTTTGAATATTTGACATATTCTTTCATTTAGTTCCAAGCAGATATTGTGAACATTGACCTTTAGCCTCATCAACTGCTGAACTATCTTACAAGAATTTCTATGAACTGTGTTGGTATGGACATTAATTCCTTTGATTTAAAACTAGACACTGGTGTAACCTTTTATAAATTAGCTTGTTAAAATTCATCTCTATATTAAAAATAAAATAACTAGAGAATTAACATTCTTCAATTTTATGAATATAAATAAAAAGTTATTACAGCAAGTTTTATTATACTGCCTTCTAGGCAGCCTGTAATGTAGCTTTAGTGATACAATGACAATTCTTTTTAACAAGAATTACAGCTTGTATCGTACTCTTTTCTATTGTTAATCAAACTACAGGCTTGTACATAATATAGCCCTCTATGAATCTTCAGTTACTGGTACTCATTTGGTTTTCCAGAATTTAAAAAATGTATTTATGTAGTTTTAGTCTTTCTGTTGAAAATTATTAAAAATCCTTTGCCCTCCATACACCCAGGCTACCTGTAGCTATTTTCTAGAATAGACTTACTGAATAGTAATTTGCATCTTCCTCAGATTACATGGAACAGTTAATATTTTCCTTTGCTTTTGATGCCGAAATGCTAAGCTGGATCAGGAGGACTGATGCAACTATCAGGACTGCACAGCATGAAATTGTTTCACTGAAAAGTTTTAATTAAGCAATTTCTATTTGATCTCTTAACATCTTGAAAATATTGAGTAGCATTATTGAAAATGTTACTCTGCTATACTGTTTATGTCATACTGAGAATACTAAATTTATTAATAAAGATAATATGCTTTGATATTTATAAGAGTTTATGTATGGTAGCAAGAATTAATTAATGAAGTTGCATGTACGAAGTGCATTGTTCAAGAAAGGGCTACAGTCTCTTAATGACCTGCATATATATGATTATCTCCACATGTGTTTTATTTCCCTGCTTCACCTGTGCATACTTTCCCATTATTATTTGCTTACTTCACAAATTATACCTGTAATTAGGTACTTAACCACCTACCTATTTTTCTGCATGCCTGCCATAATTGCATTTAAAACTGCTGTAAATGCCTGTAAAATTACAGTAATGTACATTCCAAACAAAATACTAATCAATAATAACAAATGTAATACTGAGAAGATACTGTAAGTCATCTTACAAATAAAGATTATGGAAGATTATTGTTGTCATATTTCAATAATTTAGATTTATGATTTAACATTTTACATGATTTGGGTTGATTGTGTTGTGTACTTTCTGTGTTTTAAAGGTATGTTTTGCTTAGATGATGTGAATTATGAAAGAAATAGTTCTCATGATTTTTACTAGTCTGTCAGCCTATTTCTAATCAGACAGTATCCACAATTGATTTTTTTTATAAATTGATTCTTGTTCAACATTTGGTCTATGAATCAAGTGCACTAGTTCCAGGTGTGTAATTTTCAGTCACCCAAATACTGCCATAGCTGTTTATCCTTAGGAAGTTAACTAATCAATACACTGAGTCTCCAAAGAGTCCCCTCTTTAAACTCATTATTATAGCTGGAAGACTAAGGTGCTGTGCTTTCATTTTACCATCATTTTAGGATGTGTTTTATAGTTTCTGGGAGGTAAAGCTGTAAAGTGGGTAGATAAAACAAGGGGATCAGTGTAAACATGAACCTTTCTCCTTAGATAAAATGTTTTTCAGAGAATAGTGTGATTTCCTGTAAGAAAGGAGACATGTGCTACTGCTCTGTGAAGTGTTGTCTGCATTCTCTTTGTGTATAGATGGGACCTCAGAGCTGTTCATCCAGGGTTTTTCAAAGGCTCTAATTTCGATAAAGTTAAACCAGCAAAACCCAGGAGGCACCATTGGCTATATAGTTATCCTGCTGTTTTGAGAATACTGTACTCAGAAAATTAGTTTGACATAAAGTCAGACCATAAAACTTACGAGTTATTGTTTCTGAAAAAGATTTAATCTTTTCTATGCTAACGCTGTAATTTTTTTTATTTTTACATATGTTCCACTATAAAACTGCAAGTATGCATATGGACTTCATTGGATGCCTGCTGATTTTCAAAGAAAATTTGACATCTTTCTGACAAACTGTGTTTTACTGCTGCTCTAAGGTCAACTAAAGTTCTTACTCACCCAGGGCAAATGTTGTCTACTTCTCTTAGATAGTGATGCATAAATAATTATTTTTAGGTGAATTAAGTTCATATTTCACCTGAAGTACTTGAAGGTGCAGAACCTTCATACTTCTGTTGATGAGATTTGTCACATCTTACTTCAGATGTCTAAAAAATGGGTTGGGATTCAGTTTTTGTAAATTGAGATGTAGACAATTAGATGTCTGAAGGAGAGCTGGATTGCTAAGCTCTACAACCGCAGTTAATGGAGCTCTAGAACAGAATGTGACTATTTAGGCAAGGTGTCTACTGTCATCTCGGTTTCATGGTATCATACTTGCTCTCCAATTTCCAGTCCAGGTTGGTGCAGATCTCTTTCAAGTCCTCTGCTCTGTGTGTGTGTGTGTGCTCAGTGCACATGTGTTAGACATGACACCAGCTCCTGAAATTTAAGCAACTGAGTCTTATTCCTGTCAATACAGGTGGTGGAGTCCAGAGAGCTATTTATCTTAAAATAAATAAGATACTTCAGTAGTACTTCTTAGGTATTTTAGGTGCCTCGAGGTATCCCATTTGGACACCAGCTGCCTCTCCAGAAGGATAGGGGACTCCCGTAGATCCCGTGCTGTACCTGCCAGCCCTATGCAGGAGTCCTGCATAATCCAGGGCATCCAAAATGACACCAGACATCCTTGCTTAGGTAAGTGAATTGTTCCCTAGGTGTCCAGCCAAAGCTCATTCTCCAGGTTCCCTCTGGTATCAGAAGGGGGAAGGCATTGATTCGTAACAGGTATCTTAGACATCTGTGTGTGGGATTGTTTTTCGGGGAAAGAATTGATCTGCCTGGGAGGTATCCATCTTTCCTGAATGACTATGGAGAGAACCAAGGCAACTTGGTTAGTCTTTGAGGGGCTGCAGCTAGGCAGAGTGAAATGTAACCTGTTTCCTATCATAAATGTAGCTTATATTTCCTGCCATAAACAGCTACTTTCTAAATACTTTGCAAACAGAATCTCGACAGTTACCTCAAGGAAATTATAACTGAGTTGTGACATATTTTGCTTTGAAGATTCAGATGGAAAAATTGAATTGTACTAATAGAGTGAATACAGAATAATTTTTATTGCAAAGACAAGTTTTCTAGTTAGAAGATTGATGTGCACAGTGCTTATAACTTGATCACAAATCACAATAGAATAGAATACATAACTTCACTGATTTTTGCTTGTATATACTTTATATTTTAATGTACGTAGGGAGACTAGTAGATCATACTAAACAGGTATGGCAGATAGACCATATAAATAATTTTGTGTGTGTATATATATATGAATGTGTTTGATAGATAATACAGGAAAAAAAAAAAAGTAGAAGAAAAAAGAAGTAGCTCCCAAGCAGGGAGTCATCTCCTGATGCCAGAGTACCCTCCCTGCAAAGGGTGCTGTTGCTGTGCTGGGGATGAGCCAGCAGCCATCCACTAGAAGATGGCAGCAGCAGGTACTGCTCCTGGAGAACAGACTTAGTGGGTTACCTTCTCTCTAGCTGCCAGCTGGTGATAAAAGCATCCTTCCTTCTAATCCTTTGTCTTGGCCCTATCCCTTTTTTCTTCCTCAGGACAGTACTCCCCAGAACTCCCCAATACTCAGAATGCTTCCAGCCTGCCACACTCTCTCTCACCACTGCTGTCATGTTTCGTAGTTCCTGCTGACAGAGAGAGAAGTGCTTGTATGGGCTGTTCAGAAATTAATTGCCAGTTTCAACCTGTAGGCTTGAAGTGGCATATCTCAGCTCAGAATAAAATTAATTAATCAAAATAAAAACCATTAGAATCAACACATTTTTGCCAACGAGAAACAAGCATATTTATTCCGGTTGCATAAAATTCTGGACTTCTGGAGGCGATGAAGTCATCAAAGGCGGTTTTAGCCTCCTCTTGGTTTCTGAAGCGTCTCCCACACAGGAAGCTGTTGAGATGCTTGAAGAAGTGATAGTTGGTGGGCGAGAGGTGTGGTGAGTACAGTGGATGAGGCAGAGTTTTGTAGCCCAGCTCGTTGAACCGTTACAGTGTCAAAAGTGCAACGTGTGGCCGCACGTTATCGTGGAGAAGGATTAGACCCTTTCTGTTGACCAGTGCTGGGCGCAGCCGTTGAAGTTTCTGGTGCATTTCATTGATTTCCTGGATGTACTTCGCCGCCGTGATTGCTTCACCTGGATTCAGGAAGCTGTGATGGATTAAACCAGCAGCAGACCACCAGACAGTCAGCATGACCTTTTGGTGCAGATTCGGCTTTGGGAAGTGCTGCGGAGCTTCACTGTAGTCCAACCACTGAGCCGATCGTTGCTAGTTATCATAGAGCATCCATTTCTTGTTGCATGTCACAACACAGTCAAGAAACGGGTCATTCTGGTTGCGAAAAAGAAGCACCGACAACACTACTTCAAAATGGTGATTTCTGTGATTCTCATTAAATTTGTGCGACACCATTTGTCGAGCTTCTTCGACTTTCCAATCTTCTTCAGATGCTCAGAAACAGTTGATATGCTTACCCTGAGTTCTTTGGCAAGTTCTCGAACAGTTGTGCATGTATCTGCTTTCACCAGAGCCTTCAATTCATCATCATCAATAGCAGAAGGACGTCTGCGACCTTCTTGATCTTCAAGGTTGAAATCGCCACGTCGAAATTTTTGGAACCAAAGTTGCACTGTCCGTGCGTTAACACTTCCCTGGCCATATACCTCATTGGTGTTTCAAGCAGCTTGCACTGCATTACATCCAAGTTTGAACTTGTAGATCTGTTGAAATTGCTGTTTTGACATCTGAACTTCAAACCTCCAAAATTTGTCAAAACCACAGTTTATAATTTAATTATACAGCGTGAAAGGTCATAACGAGCTTTTCAAAAATATATAACAGTACACCAGTCTAGAAGGTACTATCTCTGAAACATACACAAGGAAAATCACATTACAAAATGGAAATTAGTTTCCGAACAGCCTATAGCAGACAGTGTGATAGAAGAATGACTCCTGTTTGGTCGAGGAAGTTGATGGCAGACTTCTGCTTATCTGCAGAGGAAAGCAGCTGCTGTGAAGGGGAAGAAGTACCTGCTTATTCAGAGACAAGGAGGTAGTTAATGTTGCTGGGAGGTGGCAGTAGGCTTTTAAAAATGTTGAATCATCTTGACTTGGATGATGAATTAGATATAATCTGTGATGTCATCAGTCTGGAATAAGTGCAAACATTTCAGGGGACAAAAAGGGAATTCGAAAGGATGTTACAAATTAGAGGAATGGCCCTAAAGAAAGAAGGGGCAAGCACGATGTGCTACATTTTGTGAGGAAGGAAAAATCCAGTACTTAAAATGAGAAAGAATTGGCTAAGCAGCAGTGCAGAAAAGAAGGATGAGGAGGTTTTACTGGACCAGAGTCTAAAGTAACTGAAAAAGTTACTCCAAGTCACAAGTGCAATGCAATTGGAAAAAAAAAAATACACATCTTGCATACATAGATAGTGTCATTCATGAGTGACAGGGGTTTCTTTGTTCACCATTAGTGAAGACTGAGCAAGAGTACTGTGTCTAGTGTTTTTGCACTACTTGCAGGGAGATGGAAGTGAATGGGAGGTGTAAGGAAGGAAACAAATGTTTATACTTAAAATAATCAGAAAATAGGGTGTATCAGTAATGCTGAAGTAAATGAGTTTGTTTAGCACTGAAAAATAGGATGGAGAGCGGACATAATTTTCCCAATATGTAGGAACCTGGTGGTGAGAGGAGGATGATCATCTTAGAACCAATTAAAGTAAGACCTGAAGAAAGGAACTGATTTCAGATTAATTTTCAACTAGCTACAGTGTTGTAGTATGTCCTTCGTTGCAGATTTTCAAGCAGAGACCAGAAAAATAGCTCTTCCAATGATGTTGCTCTTGCCTCTGAAGAGGCTGGGTTAACTGATGCTTTGAGATCTTTCCAGCACTGTATTTCTGTGAATTTCTACTCTGATTTAGTTATAATTTATGTCAGTGCTCCCCCTGAGTTGTACACCTGTGTGTCTTGGTATGGTTTCAGATGCCCCTACTGATTTCACAGTGATGCTGCAGAAGATCAGGAGTTTCCTATAGGTCATTTGTAACGCACGTCAGTGTCATAAGGATATGCCACATCACCTGAGATGTTATTAGTTACCAGGATTGTGTATGTATCTTCATTGTGGTTTTGGTATCTTTGCGTTGATTGCAGCAGGCATCACATGTATGTCCTTTCAAACATACTGGTCATAAAAAAGAGAGTTGTAATGTACAAGGTCAGGACTTCTGTGCATATAACCGTAATTACATTTTTCTTCTGTCAACAGCCTTTCATCATGCCCAAGTAATGAAGAAGTACAATAATTTAAGTTATGCAGGAGTGGAAGGTTCACAGAATCTGGATTTATGAATTTATACCTGCTTTATGCTTAGCTATTTTTCACATTCCTTTGAAGACAGAAGAAAAGAGAAAGGAAAGTGATGTTTATGAAAGATTTTTATTCATGCACTGAGTGCTTATTCAGACAATTTAATATCTGTAGTCATACAGAAAGCTTAGCAGTTTGATAAAGGCATGGCAGACAATCTCATGCTTGGAGGAAGACAACATACAAACGCAAGAACATCCATGACACATCTGACTAAAGGTCTGCCTAGCCAAGTGTCCTGACTCTGATGCTGGCTGGTAGTGGATGCTTAGGAAAGAATAAAATAAACACATAATATCAAGTGCAATCTATCAATACTGAAGGATGATAAAAACTTGCCGTGGAAGAGGTTGAGTAATATTTAGTTACCATTAGGGGTTTTAGCTTATCCAGGATAAACTTTCTTTTTTCTCCCCTATGACACACAGTCATAAAAGATAGCTGGAAGGAGAATAATTTCAAAAGGAGAGTTCATGTAATATTTGTAATTGAATTTCACAGTTCCTTATAACTACAGAGATTGCAAGGAAAAAAATCCCCAAGTCTAGGCATGTCTAATTCATTATTCACTATTACGGATTTGAACCAATAATTTCAGCAAAATAATTTGTTCTCTCAGCAGTTAGGAACTGGTTACAGGTTGCTGTGATAATGTAACCTGCAATATGAATGTAATACTGCATACAGCAGAGAGGGAAGGTACAACAGCTGTGCTGGGAGGTCTGCAGTTACACTAGATAATTGGCAGTTCAATAGCAGTTAATGACTTTTTTTCTTTACACTAATAGGAATGTTGAATTTTCATTAGTTCATGGGTATGTCTCCATAGCACAATACAGCACTCTGCAGAGATGCCAGACATACCTCTGGTGCAGCTAGTACAGTTTCTGGAAGCCCTGAAGTTATGTCGATACAGATCCCTGTACAGGATGGCCCTTGAATACAACTTGTTTCACAGGCTTTTAATAGGTTATCCAGTGTATGACCAGCATGCAGCCAGAGCTGATCATCAGAGTTCCCTTTAACAGAGAGTAGCACTTCCATAAGACAGTATTTTTTGTCCTAAGACAGGTATTTAAGGCAGTAAGGACAACTGTCCCTCCAGAAGTGCCTGTCTAGAAGTGCTAACAGGGTAATGGGATGGAGAAGGCAATGAGAAGAGTTGACTGTCCTAGAATAGATGCTCAGTGTTTAGTTAACGTTGGGATGAATTCCACCTATTGTTAATCCTTAACCTGTCTTTTTGAAAGTAAGTAGAACACTGTGCTGAACTGGTTCAGAGTTAAATCTTTAGCAGCACTAAGTAATATTACCCAGCAGGTTAATGCATGTAAAATTCTGTATACAGTTTGAACTATGGAGGGTTTGTCCGGTAGACTTTGTCTGAGTCCTGAGTCAAAACACATGTAGAACAGAGCAGATAATATTTAAAAACAAGCTCAAATCCATGTGATTAAAAATAGCTCGTCCGTTGCTCTTTTAATTGAGATATAAGGTAGCCCCGCTATCGTGCTCTGCAGGTCTGTTAACCCTGAACTTACTTGGAAGGAAGAGATTTATTCCCTTGAGTCAGACATGGCTGTTGCCTGATCACATCAGGGAATTTTAACATCTCATTCAGGTGATTACTTATCCGTCATAGGCTTAGTGTGTGAGCTCATTGCTGAGTTATAATGTCAAATGTTGAGGTGTAATCCAATTCACACACCACGTGAGCTCAGCTGGGCAGGGCCCTCCACTCTTTGCACTGGGCTTGTGCAGAATCAAAGAGGTGAGGGCTTCCCATTCCAGGAGTTGAGCTTGGCTGTGCTCACATTCTACAGTGGGAAAATAAGTCTGGAAGAGTTAAGAAATTAATTCTGCCAGACTGGGAATGCTAAAATGTAAACTACTGGAAACTGTTTTTCTGCTTAATCAAAAGTTACTTTGTAAGCAGGTAGCTATTTTTCTTGGTGGTTTCTGATGCTACTGTGCCTTTATAAATGCACTGAAATTTTGAAGCTGAAAATAATAGACAATACATGAATGCATTTAAATTCTGAATTTTAGAATACACCAACTCAAGGTGGGAGTACTGAGTAATGTGGTAAGTCTTGTTAGTCATTAAAGATACAGAAGATAAACTTGGGCCTTTTTTTGTCATATGACATGCTTATTTTTTTATGTACCAGCAGTGATATGCTTTAGCTTCTGACCTCCTGGGCTATTCAGAAAATGACACTTGGCTTTTCTATAGCATTTTCCAATCATGTAAAACAGGCTTTCTGTTTGGATAGCAAAAACAGCTCCCAAACCAACAGGAATTTTGCATAGCAGACTGTTAGCAGAACTTGAAGAATAGATGCAACCCTTGATTTTGTTTTCAGAAGTACCCCAGAAGCTATGGATCTTCTAGATTTAAGAGTAGTGATGCTCCTGGTAATCTGAAGAATATCAAGACCCTTGTACTTGAGCACGGTGCCTGAGCTCAGGCATACACTCATTGTGTTAATCATTAGCGTGGACTTAGCCTAGCATTTTCCCATGTGATGGTTGGGTACTTGGAGGTTAGCACATGCCAGGTCCATTCCTAGTAGGCAGCTTGGATGCAGCTACTTGTTCTGTATGATAAGTTTATCTAGATAGAAACAGACCATGCCATGCCACTTGTCCTTTGGACCAGAAAACTCCCTGGCCTACTTTATGTGCTAGGCTACATATATCCAAAACCTGCAGTTCATTGCATCTGTGAGAAATTATGGACCCTCTCTAGTGGGAGAGCTGTGACTATCTGACTGACAGTATCTGTGTTAGCAGATAACTCATTGTAAGAAGATAACTCATTGTAGAGAGCTTGTTTCTTTCCAGTTGCCATACAGGGAGCACAGCTTGGGCCAAATACCTGTCTGTTAGGCTTCTGACAGTAGGTGAGGTAAGTGAATGCCACCTGCATGTCCTCTTGACTCTGCCCTGCTGTTGGAGCTCTTTGTTTCTCTTTAAGGACATGTTTTCTCGAGGTCCTTCCTGGACAGATGTCCTCTGCACACTGGGAAACTGCTGTCGCAAACTTGTTTCTTGTAGACAAGCTCTGTCACTTGGTCTTACTTGCCTTCATACTTGTTGATAGTGACTTCCCACACAGTTGGAAAGCTGTGTGTTGAGCTGCATCACAGAGCAGAAGGCTCTGGTAAATTAGTGATAGCTACTGATGGAGAGAAGAAGGAACTTGAGGTGGCATCTGAACCAGTTACGCTGGGCAGTTAACATGCATTTAAATCTAGATGGAGATGTTCACCTCAGTTTAGGTAGATCATGGTCTTTTTATGGAGCATTTCCAGAGTATTTGCCTCTTCATTAATACAAACTAAAGAAAGTACCAGCATCCCCTGCGCAGCCTTCGTTAGACACCTAGGTGCAAGCTAATTGCCTAAATGAGCTGGGTTGGACTTCACCTTTACCTCGTGTAACAGAGAGAGCAGGTTGTCCTTGGGCAGTAAGAGATTATAAAAAGTAAAGAGAAGTAGTTAGCAGTACCTGTGTGTTTGTGTGATGAACGAGAGGTGATGCAGAGAAATCAGTTTTAAGGAGGAAGTATTTCAATTCCTTTTAATCAAAAAATGGTGTCTCCTTTGGCATTTCTTCCATTTTTTTTCTTCAGAAAAATGGTTGATCTTGGGAATAGATAAGCTATTTTAAAAATGTGGATTATCTGCCTACAATTCTTTTCATAAACCCTCCCCCTTAAATGGACAGAAAAAAAAAAAAAAAAAAGGAGGAAGAAGATGATTGTCAGTGAATTAGAAAATGCATTTAAGATAGTTGATCAGCTTATCTTTGCTGTAGAGCCACTTTAGTCACAGGCTCATATATTATTAACCTGACCATAAAGTACCGCATCAAGGTTGATACTGTACATCTTTCCTGGCATATCCATTTATGTGGTGCTAGGTGCCTTTTGAATTGGATGCTGAAGCTGTAATTTCGAAAGGGAAGCCAGGAGTTTGCATAAAGTAATCTTGTTATCCATTAGAGAAGTATTTCTTTATCTTTACATAAAAAAAAAAAAAAAAAATTCAACATCTGAAGATCCCTTTAGCCTCCCTAAAGGAATAATCTAGCCCCAACACTTGTGATGTTATCCCCTTCCTTCATTAGTCAGATCTAGAAGGATCTCATTTATAATCTTGCCTTATATCCCTCTAATTTACCCGCAGAGACACATGTATAATGTCATTTAGTAATCTGGCACAAAGGCTTCTGTATGTGCAAAGTAGTTTAACTGAAAAAAAGAATTATTCCACTCAGATATAAGTATACTTATTAATTCAACTGCTGGTGCTCATTGAGCAGCTGTCTTTAAGACAGAAGTCATAGTAATTTGTTACTACTTTTCCCTAAAAGCCCCTGAATGATATTTTTTTTTTTTAATAGCTCAGGAAAGTGACCAAATCTTATGAGACTCCTGTATGAATCTTCTGCAATTTTTCTTTCTCTTGCCTCTTGATTATTCACATCATGCTCTAAAGCAGGAGGCTGCGTTTTTCTCATTGTTATTTTTCTAGTCCTTTTCCTAATGTGTACAGTCTACCAAAAAAAAAAAAAAATCTGTTGTGGGAAAACCAAATCCCTCCCTCTTTCCAAAACCACTGCTGGATTAAGCTAAATACAACTGAGTTATAAAATTCTTTGCAACATTATATGGTGTCTGATTATAACATTTACAGAGCAATATTGAATGTCATGTGCCCTACTAGGTGTGGCATTGTTTAATCCTATGTCTCTTTATACATTTATATGTTACTGTGACTTCCTTCATGGTAATAAAACCAAAGCAAACCTGAAATAAAATGTGATGAATCTGTACTTCATGACAGACCACTTCTGAGGAATTCGATTAAAACACAGCAATAAGGCAGTAACAATGCTGAAGATTCAGAAGATGGATTTAGTTAATTGCTTCTAGAGGACACAAAATGAAATACTGCCTTTCAGAGATGAGTGATAAATCTTCAGCTATATGGAAATAATGGGTGTGAAGAATTGACTAGATGTAATGTTGATTAAGGCAATCAAAGGATGAAAGTGTCAGGGTTACTTTTCAATCTGTCATTGCTTTGTGGCCATCTATCATGGCAACCTGATTTTGTCCTACTGAGAGTACTGGTATGTTTCTGTCTTTTTCTCCCTGTTGTCCCTCACTGAATCTTCATGTCTTATTACATTCCGGTTGGTTTTTTGCCAGAAGTGTGGTATTTTTTCATCAGTTCTTGCAGCATAACCAACACACTACCAGTTAGGCTTTTTCGTATTCTTCAAGACATCCTTGCCCACAGCTGGCTACCCTGCCTCATCACTCAACACTCAGCTTCACATCCTTTTCTGTGTCTCCTTTTCTGCTGATGTGGCATGGCTGTCAATACAGGCATATTAATTTTTTTGAAGACAGAAAGAGCTTATTTTTAATGATATTGTTATGCTATGCCTTATTTGTGCCATATAAATAAGAAGGAGTCAAGTCTTTAAAAGACTCGAGGAACCAGACCTTTGCAAAAAAATCCTCCAGTTTATTTCTACCTATGCTTTTGCTGTAGTGAGCCGTACTGTAGGTGGTGACTGTTTCTAATAGAGAACACAGGGAAGGAATGGGGGAGAATTGTTAAATTTTTAGATTACTGTAAGATCGTAGTGGAGTGAAAGTTCGATTTTATTTGGTTAGCGTTGCTCAGCAAGGACAGGGTTTTTCACAAAAACCATTGGTAAGTAGTTACTCAGAAGGAGCTGTAGTCTCCACGTGATCAAAAACATATATTCAGTGTTCTCCAAGACACCTACTTTATTGATTGACTGAAAAAACTCCAGAGGAGATTATTTTATCATCTTGTGTCATATCAGACTTCTGAGGAACACACTTTCCTTTCCAGTGTCAAATCTGGCTATTACATGCAGTGGTACAATTTCAGTGGGGTCAAAGAGAAGAGATTCTGGCCCATCTTTTGTCGGCTGTCACACAGACTGGCAGAAGCAAAGCAATCCAGCACTAATGTCAATATCCTGACCATCAGATTATCCCGTTGTGTCTTCATAGGATGGCACAAAAGCTACAGCCACGCAGATCTTCATGCCAAGACTGGAATTTTTAAGCAATTATCATAGCCTGATTTTTTAGGTGCCTTGAAGGGGGAGAAGTGGCCATGCCTTCCATCCTGTGTATACTCTCTGAAAAACTAGGACTACAGCATTGTGAGTATTGGTAAAAGCAGCAGAAGAATTATATGTAATTACAAGACTAAATTCTGAAAATACTTTGAATCTTTATTTCTTTGAAAAACTTATTACAGACATAACTTTTTTTGATCGTCCCATGATCTGGATGAATTTTAGGTCTTTTTCTGCCCTCACCTTGTTTCTAAAAGTAGCAAAACAGGTAGCAGAACTGCAGCTGGTATTCAGTTCAACATCTTCATACAGGTGCTCACTGTATTACTTAACACTTTAGCTTCGCAAGAATGTTGGCTGGGATTGTTAAATGTGGATGTGTTTCTAAAACTTGTCCTTTTGCATTAATCACTCTGTCTTATCTTTGTTGTTGTTAATCAAGTGTTCTCTTCAGTGGCCACCAGTTGTAATGCTAGTCATGATACCTGCTGTTGTCTAGAATTGTACTGTAAGTTTTGTATATGAGAAGGGCTTTTTTAATCCAGAGGTCTAGGAAATAGCCAGATCCTTTTCGGGAGTCTAGCTGTTGGTTGTTGTCTCAGAGCTGAGGATTCCCTTTGGAATGGCATGCTGTTGGAAATACCTCCCTGGAGCTACTACCCCCTTTCTGTCCAAGTGAGACATGGAGAGAAGCTTGTCGGGATGAGCAGAAGACAGAATTTGTGTGCAACAGGGTCTGCTTGACACTTAAATGACTCAGCAGTATTGTATTTCTGTAGTCCTTGCTCTGCTGCAGTTCATGCTGGAGCTGGCTCAGTCTGGCCCTTTGGGATCAGAGGAACAAGGAGGTGATTTAAGACAACTTTTCCCATTTTTTCCCTCAGCTGTTCTGACTGTAAAGTCTACCTGATGAAGATCTGATCCTCACATTTTCACAACAGTGCTTTCTTAATTCTTTTCAAGCAAAACTCCCAGTGAAAAATACAGAAACTGAATAAAAAAAGTTTTGTTTGACTCAGTGTTAAGTATCTGCCAGCAGGTCCAATGCCATTTTTTTCTTGGTTTCCCTTCATGGGAATAAACAAACTAGAGCACTAGACACTGGTAAGAGCAGGGAAAAAAGTTTATTAATTATTCAATAATCTCTAGAGGCTTAGTGTCATTTAGAGTTAATGTATATCCCAAAGATATTATTAAAGATTTTGCAGTTCAACAGTTACTGTCGGATCACAAAGAAGTATCCTTGGGAACTGAATTTCCCTGGTGTGAGTTCATGTGTGTTTCTTCTGCTGTCCCACCTCGACTCTCATCTCCTTCTTGTGACACACAAAAAAGGCAGGAGGACACATGTATAGACATGCTGCCAATAGACCACGACAGTTTTGGAAAATGTTCCTGAGTACTGGAAGTCCAACCAAACCTACTAATAAATTATTGGAGCGCTTCATGGGATGGTTTTGGCCCCTGCCAGCTGGTGCTCCTTCAGAGGCTTCCCAGGTGCTGCTCAGAATTCTGCATGAGCCACAGATGCTTCTGATACCCAGCTAATGTATAGCCACTCCTTTTTGGAGGGTGAGAAAGTCTAATAGTAGGGACTTGAGATACGGGCAGATGGCCTCAGTGCCAGAGTATATGTTTTATATTCTAGTCATGTTTAAATCACTAATAGAGACATAGCCATAGAGTCTCTTTGAGAAATTTATATACTGACCTGTAAGCCTAACAAATTCAGCTTTTTTTTGGTACCAGATGTACTGGCTGTACTGCACTGAGCCTTATTAAGCATCCTGGCTAAGCCACACTTGTTGAACCTTTAAATAAAGGTGAATTCTCAGCCAGAATTCAGGGCTGCTGAGAATTCCCCACAGTCTTCTGTGACAGAAGGCTCCAGTGATGTTTTCAGTTCAGCTTTTCCCAAAGAATTTTTTTCTGAAGGAAATGCATGACTTTAGAGTCAACAAGGCTCAGACCTATAGCTGATGCTGCACTGGCAGGTTGTCCCTTTGGGTGCGATGGCCAGCTGCATGGATGCCATCACCCTGTGCTTTTCATCTTTGACACCATTAGGGCCTTTCTGTGATGCAAATTTTGCTTCCACTTTCCCTTGTACTGCTCCAAAGAAATATTTGATGTTCAGCATGTATGAGAGATGAGGGAGAAAATGTTGATGAAGTTAACACAGATAAAAATGTGTTTGATGTGTACTGATCAAACCAGGTAATTTTTTTTTTAATGCTATGTAGAATTATTTTGCAGGCTTTATGTTAACAAAAGTGGGAAACTGTCTATTTTGGAAACATGTCAGTGGAGAACGAAGCTGACTGACATCTCTATTTATAGCATCAATCTGTAAGATTTCCATTAAAAATGCCTTGTCCACACTGAGCTGATGAGACCTACTTGCGTGCTCTGCAGGCTGACCTTTGAGCTGCTCATTGGGTCCAGAGGGTCTGGTTCTGCCCAAATGCGTCTCTTCTCAAGAGCCTGACAAGTGAGATGTGGGTGGGGGATGGATAGTTACAAAACCAAGGTACAATACTGTACCTCTGTAAGGGAATTCATTACCAGAATGTCATGTTAACCACATATTTGAAATAACTGTGGAAATTTCTTTTCACTGGTAGGTCTCAAAGTTCCATCTAAAGCAATTAAATAATCTTATGGTATGGGACCACAGATGAGAGGTGGGATGTCCTACAGCCTTCAGCAGACCAATGACAGATCCTGCTTGCCTGACACCTGGTCTAGTTTTTAGTGACAAAGGCTGGTACCATGCAGCCCAGCAGGTGTAGATCTGCAGAATGCAGCTGGATGCCTGATGTCCACATTAAATGCTTTCTGCTGTGTGTTTGCTTTGTAGAACTAGTTCTGGTTTGGTTCTGCATAACAAATTATAGTTGGACACACTCTAGGTGTGTTTATGGACAGCATCTGTGGTTTGGGCCCGTCCAAAGGGAATAAAGTTGACATGCTCCAAAACAGTTTTGCAGCATGAACCAAGGTGTAGTAAGGGAGAGCAGTTGACCGATTCACTTCAAAAGCACATTCTCAATTTGAATAACGGTGCTAATATAGATAACTCAAAGCCATTCTGACTCCCATTTTTAGAATGAATTGTCATTTCATTTTGGGATGCTGAAGTACATCTCCCATCTGATGTGTTATTTGTTCATTACTTAATTAGCAACTAGTTGTGAAGTGATATCTTCATCTTTATTCTCATTTCTGTTTATGAGAAGCAGAGGTAAACGGGTGTAAGAATTGCCATATCAGCTCATAGCAAATGTCTTTTAGCCTGATATCATATCTCTGACTTGGGCTAGTATCAGATGTTTAGTGAATAGCACAAAAAAGTGATACTACCCTAGAAAAATCTCCCAGCCTCCATGATTTTCAGTTCAGGAATATCTGTGATTGCAGCTGGTTTCTTAATGCTTAAGCTAAGGAATATTTAAATAAATTATTGTGTTTATTTAGCTAATGTGCACCTAGATAAAAGATGTGTATAGATTTTGACCACATTTTTCTTTGTAGATCATACTTTCTACAACGTATTGTTATAACCTGCGTCATCATCGTTGTTAGATGTGCTCATTAAATCCCCAAAGCTGTCCAGTGTTAATCACTGACATTGCAGTGAAATCTACCTCCGTGCACTCATGCAGATTTCTGGCAGTTGCTTGCTTTCACCAACTGTTTTCTCAGAATGCCAGAATGCTTCAATGTACAAACAGTATAAAGCAGTCTGTGTCTGTCTACGACTGTAAAGGGGAAAACCTGTAAACTTTCCCCAAAATTTCTAGACTTTTCCAGTCAGGAAATCTCAAAGCAGCAGCTCTTTTGCTTTAAATCACACTAGTCCTTAAAAATCTTTCTGAAGGAATGTTTGAATTATGCTATTGGGAATTCAAGAAGGGAAAGTCCGAGTGTCTTTGCATATTCAGTCATGAATTAATTTATGTCTGAGACTACTTTTCCTCAAGCTCCTTAGTTCTACAGTATAACATATAGGAGTGTGTAATCCCTGAGATGAGAGTTTCTAATGACTTCAATGAACTTTAAAAAAAAAAAAGTAATACATTTTGAAAGCTGTTAAAATCTGTCTTCTTTTAATGCAGAATGGGTATTGAGAGCAGGTGATCTTTCAAGAACTCTTGACTCCTCCCTTTCCAAAAAAAGATAAAGCTTCAGAAGTAAGGCATTGTTAAGTCTAGGACAGAAAATAAAATAGCGATCAGGATTAAGTATTGCATCTCTTGAAGTAGACAATATGATTTCTATTTGCATCATAAAAAGGTGGAAAATGGGATATTATTCCTGTGGTCAGGGCATGCTTGAGTTATGGTGCTTGGAGACACACACCCCTATTCAGGAGATGGTGATGAGTTCCCGGGTGTCTCAGATCAGACATAATCTGTGTTTCCCACTACCTACGTAGTAGACCTTTCACTGACACATGATCATAACTTCTCAGTATGTACTTTCTCGCATTCTTCACCTCGGCATCTTCTTCGCTGTTATCTACCCTGGAACTGGTATAGAGTTTTCCAGATAAGTCAATCATTGTAGCCTCAGGTATGCTAAAGAGCAGGAAGAGGATGGGGAGTGGGCAAAGGGAGAAGCTAATCCTCGCAGTAGTTTTCTCAGTCTCAATTGTGATGCTTCAAACTGCTCAAATTCTTCTCTAGTGGGTTATTTCAAGGTCTTCCAAGACTATTTTGGCAGAATGACCAGATGGTGTAAGAGAAATCACAAGTGACTATATGTCCTCCACCCATCCTTAACCACAGTGGTGAGTTGTCAGACTCCAGTATGGATTCCTGCTACAATCAGATAGGCAGACAACAGATTCAAGGTGCCTTTTGAGGAATTAGAGCTCTTATTCCTGCAGGGTATGAAGAACTCCTGTAGAAGCCTTCCAAAAGAAGTCTGAAGTGTAGGGATGGAGGACACCAAGTAGTAGACCGACTGTGTTGTGAGGTCTTCTCTTGAGGCCACTTCCAGATGAAAACCATTAATTGAGCTCTGTGGGAATCACTTAATGGCAATTTTATTATTCATGTATTTGGCCTAGAATCATCAAGTTTTAGCATTTAAATATTTTCAATACAACTTCTTTTGAAAAATATTTATTGGGAACAGTCAAAATGTTTTTTATCATAATGCTGATTTATTTTTTTTCAAGGTAGTGCTAATTTAGTATGAAACTACTGAAATATTTACTGAAATGTTGCAACAAAACACTGATTTTCTTCAAACAGTTTTTTTTCTAAATGACATTTTGTCAAAATCAATATATTCTGCAGTAGTACTCTTTAGCAATGTGGAAACAACTACAGTGCTATTGGAATCTACTCATTATGGTGCTAAGTGCTCCTAACAAAGTAAAAGTGTGTGTTTAACAAAACTGGTGTCGGCGTGCCTGCTGAATCTCTTTAGTACAAGTGGGAAAATAAAGACTTAAAATAGCCTTTATTTACTTACTACCATGTCAGAGCAGTAGTGCAGCTTACTCCAGGAGTGCAGAAGTGTATTGAAGGCTGAACTTTCAAGCCCTTATTTTCATTGTTATTTTAGACAGCACAGGTAACACCAGTGTTTAAACACATGATGATCACACCTTTGCTTTGTAACTATATTCCATGTCATGGTCTAGCAAATCTCTGCTTGAAAACAATTTATTACATAGATATGCTTTGTCATTTATTTGTTTATTCATTTATTTGTTAACTTTCTTCCCAAAGAGGCTTCATGGAGCAGTTTAGTCCTTCAGACTGAGATCCAGTTGCATCAGATGCTTTCAGAGAAGTAAACATTACATACCTATTAAATATTTCTCTGAAGATTGATAGTTACAATCGATTCTGACTGACTAATCTCAAAGATAGTGTATGAATATACTCTATCAGGTAAGCCTTTATGATCCTTTGTAAGGTTACATCCACTCGACAAAGGTCTACTGATTCTAGAAGAGTATTTGCTCTGTTAAGTTAGTTGAATGAGTATATGAAGAATATGTGAGTCATTATTTGGTCCTTCTCACTTTGGATGGGCAGATGTGAAGGGATGTTAGCATCTTTTGCCTGATGAAGTCTAGGATGAGAGGTGTAGTGTTAGGTCTGGTTATATCAACCAGTGATGTGTGTACAGATAGAACAGCGTATCCTTAAACACACAGTAAGCTGGTTGAACTGAAGCAGAGCCTAAGTGTTTTCTATACTGAGATTGTAAAAGTCTAATACATGTTTAGACTGGCCTGTTAATTCCTAGGTAAGACCATGGGTCACAAAAATCACAGAAAGCCTTAGACTCTCAGGGTAGACTTATTACTGGGGCCATACTGAGAATTTCATAGTCCTCAAGATCCTGCTGTCATGCTTAGAGTCCAAGCTCAAGAAAGTAGCTCCAGGTGCATTCAGTGATGCAGCATTTGTAAAGACCATGTCACTGCATTACAGTGTTTCCTACTGGAGCAGCAAGTCAGCTTTAGAAATTACTCTGAAATGGAGACTGAATCTCCAGTTTGATGTGTAATTTGCCCAGTTATTTTTTCAATAGATTTAATAAGTTTTTTTACACTTTAACCATCACAGAAAGTATATATTTTATTTCTTCAGTAACATATGTAGCTATATGTCATAGTGAATTATAGTAAGGAGGAAAGTAAATATTCCAGTTGAAACTGAAAGCCTTTCTTGAAGTTGTAGCATTTTCTGTGCTGTCTTCCAGTGAGACTGCTTGAGCTGTCTTCTTGCCAGAACCTCCTGAATTGCTGCAGCAAGTTTTTTTCCTGTTTTTGGTGCTGACACAATGACATGCATCTCAGATGCTAGCTCGCTTCTTCTGACATGCACCCGATACAGGTGACAAACTTGTTTCATCACTAAAATCATTCCATGACCCAACATGTGAGCTGCTATCCACAATACCTCACTTCTGAAGTTAGTGACATTTTCTATCAGTTGGGAATTAGGGGTTTTTAAAGATACTGTATATCATCTCCTGTAAGAAAATAAGATGGTATTCTACTATGCTACATTTCACTAGTACAGTTTAGATTTGATGCAGTACAACATTGTTACAGATCTAATTAATCACCCCTCTGTAGAAGGCCCAGGTTTTGTTCAGGTTATTTTTTTTTTTGGCAAGTATTGCATTTTCTTCCTTTGCATGTGAAATAATTTAGTATCAGGGTGGCATCACTTAACCTTCATTAGTTACATATATGGGAAATAATCCTAAATTGACTGGAATGACAATTGCAAAACACATTTTAGGGCCAATATTTTAAAAAACATGTTAATTTTAGAATCATTTCACAGAGGAATACAATAAAATACGCAGGCAAAAATCCCAACTTCAAAGATATCTTTGTAGTGGCTACTAAAAATACATTAACATAAAAAATTCTTTCTTATAATTTTGTTTGTATCTTAACCGATGCATTAGACTTCCAGTTCTGTGTACATGTTAGAATAAAAATAAATGTAAAAATTATTCATGTAGTAGTGCATAGACAGGCTTGTAATTATTTATAACCCATTGATTGCTTAATAGAACATTAGTCATCTGAGTTTTCATTTTGTTTTCCTTTCAGATAATTCATAATATTAGAAATAAACAAAGATGGACTTTGAACATTTTACATGAATGTGTCCTGGCCTGTTGTCATTTAGTTTTTCATAATGACCTTTTGGTTTTTGTACAGATTGTGTTTCTGCTTGAACAGTTCTTATGTGTTTTTGTAGTGTCTCAACTGCTTCTCCTTCTAAGGTAGGCATTTGCCTCCAAGGTACAGTTCTGTGTTACACTCAGTCTTCTGCAAATCCAGTTAACATTTTAGAAAGGTAATATCATGGATAATTCTGTGTTCTCAGAGTAGTAAATAAGATGAACCAACGCTAAATGTTGTATTGTTTCACTCAACATTGTTTTTTGTTCCTGTACATTAAAAAATATCGGTTTAAAGAGTATCCTTCTTTCAAACCTGTCGTGCTAGTAAAACTAACTCCTGTTTCCATTTCCACTATGAGCATTTTTTTCCCATGGATAAGATTACAGGATAAAAAAAGTGTTCATTTTGATATATATTCCCTTTTACTAGAGTCGCTGAGTATTTTTTAATAATAAATTAGATGACTGCAAGCAAAACGTAGAGAAGTAGCACTGAAAAATGTTAGTTCCTCCTTTCTTTCATGCAGTTTCACTATTTAAAGTTTTCAAAATCAGCTGTAGACTTTTATTTACTAACATGTTGTGGTTACAACTCTGAAGGTATACTTTTTCATTGTTTTTACTGCAGAGTTTGATAAAATAGCAGTTCTAACATCTCCCTCTGCCAGTTATTTTAAATGGTCTTTTATACTTGGAGCTCCTCATAAATTTCTGATGCTAGTGTCAGTGAAGTTTGTTACCAGTTCTTGTACGGCAATGATGTATAGTGCGTATTATAACGCAGCGACGTGGCCACTGGAGGAAAATCCCTCTAAATAAGCTATGAGTTATTTAATTCTAAACTCCCAGAGCAACCCAAAGAGTCTCTAGAGGCTCTGGGTAGGTTTTCTGCTCTGTTAATTAAAAATTATTTTTTAATGTAATAAATTCATAATCCCTTTGTTGTCATCTGTTAGATGTGTGGATAATTTCTAGCTAGAATTCTTCATTTTGGCTTAAATGTTTTTATCGTGTTCTTGAGTAGAAGAATGAGAAAATACAGCTTCACCTTTTGAGAATATAAGCTATTTTAAAATATAAATTTGTCTTGCTGTTTTTATTATTTACTATATCATGAAGAAGCAGAGAACTGAAGAATCAGGAAAAAAACATTATTCTTCCTTCAGTCCTAAATCTACTGCTTCCACTAGAAATTAGATGGAGCTTGAAATACTTACTGTCCTCTCAGAGCCACTAGATTAAAACAAATTGAGATTAATTAACTTTCCCAGTTAATGCATTTGGGGGATCGCAGAAGGAACTGTTCAGTCCAGTGGTGTGAGCGGCAGGCATTGGTGAATTGGTGAGTGGGTGAGGCAATGGACTGTTCCCTGCCCCCCCCCCCCCCCCCCCCCTGAGCAGTGAGAATTCACTTTTTA